CACCTGTAGTTTCCTTTAACTAGAAGCGAGTTGTTCAGCGCTTGCCAATTCGATGCTGAGGCCGAACGTCATTGTCTGGAGCTCTGCATGCAGTGCCTGTGACAAGGTCTGGCAACCAGGATTCTAGAACTCGATGCAAAAGGGCTTGAACTCAGCGAATCTGGTGAGGCAGAGCACTGGCTGGAGTCGCTCCGTCTTTTGAGCCAGATGCCTGGCAAGAAGCACCTCCCTCAGACAGTCTCAGATCGTTGCTTCCAGATTGGTATGTAGGAGGCTGGTCGCATCAGTCCCCTCTGTGCTGCTGCAGACGATTTGCGCTTGCTTTTGCAAAGTGGCAACAAGTTTGTTGGCCATTTGTTGTGCATTCAGCAAAATGGACCTGTTCGATGTTCTGAATCTGAGATAACCGCAATTTTGCTGAGGATTGCATATGTTTGAAACAACGGGCGGATGTCACATGTGCAACATGATCCTGCTACTAAAAAGCGAAGGTAAGCAAGGATGTTGCACTGCTTGCGAAGCCCGCCGGAAGAGGTTTCCATCTTTCGAGAGTGTGAACAGGGCTGTGGTGAAAAAACTCTTGGGTTTGAATCTCCTCGAAAGCTTGCGATTCGTGTCAACCAAGAGCCAAGAGTTGAGGGAGGACACTAACGAGCCGTAGAGATCGGCAGAAACGGTCGCTCCATAGCTTGTGGTTCTGCATTGCTTACACGCCTTGCACAGAGTGGAGACGACATTTTCGTGCAGTTGACCGTCGGATTTGCCTCCTCACCATACCTCGTCGGTCCCACTAGGCCATGGTCCACCTTTCTCGTCTGCATTGTGCAGGCTTGCCTCCATGCAATTAACAGCGACTACTAGAAGTTTGCGATCAAGCAGCCAGAGGGGCGGAAACAGGTCATTCCACTACCATTGCCAGTGGACATTGGACCTTCCTTCAGCATGCAGTTAATATGGCTCTGAAGGTTGCAGCCGAACGTGATCTCCTACGGGGCTGCGCTGAGCGCGTGTGCACGCGTCGCAAAGTGGCAGCATGCCATCGCGCTCTTGGAAGATGTGTCGGCTGAGGCCGAGCTCAGCCCCAACTGAGGGGGTGTCGCTATGAGGAGCGCATGTCCTGCCGCAGTGCTGCCTCAAGCCTGCAGGACATTGACATGAACATCGTGCTTTGGAACTCTGCTATAACGGCCTGTGCCAGGCGCTTCGTACGGTGTTCTTGTTGCACGGCTTCCTTGGCGACCTGTGTAGTGCAGGGCTGGCGAATGGCCTTTGGCATTGCACCTGTTGGAGCTACTTCAGCAGGCCTTATACGGTATTGAACGGCCCCATAGAAGAATCAGTGGAGTTATCGTGACGCTCTGTCGCAGGAAGGCTTGCAGCCTGACGTACTCAGCTTTAATGCCTGCATCACCGCGGCTGGGGCTGGTAGCCGTTGGCAGCTTTCGCATCTCTCCTTAATGCTCCAGTGCGCCGATCCTTCAAGGGCTCGGGCAAATTGATTGCCGTTCATGGGTACTTTCGTCTGAAAGAAACGTGTACATCGCGTCAGATGTCTGAGACATGGTCGTGCCATGTGAAACTTGCCTCAATGTCCCTGGCATATAGATCTCACAGCCATCTTAATGGGTTAAAATCAGTGGACGGCTCATCGAGTTCCTTGTGGCCAGAGAGCACCAACTAGATCGCTTGCTAGTGTACAGTCTGTAGTCTGCAGAATGAGAACCGGTGTCCGTCCGCGAAAGCCCTACAGTAAGAGGTGCATACTCCGCAATCCAGGCAGACTTCTTTTTTTTCACGGTTGGAGGGCTGTCTCGTGACAAGGCTTTCGCTTTTTGACTTGGCGGAGTCAGTTGGCCGAAGCGTGCTTGGCCCAGCTGGCTGACCTGACAGACAGCATGTTTTTCAGCTCAGCGAGATTGGCTCTACAACCAAGGTTGTCACCTACAACGCTGTGCTGGCGGCCTTCGAGGCACAGCTTCAGCGTTTCAGATTTTGGGAGCGTGAATTCGTGCTCTTCGAAAGGACGAGAGAGAGCGATGCAACCCAAAAGAGCAACGGAGTATGTGAGAGTGTGATCGGGCGTGTGTGTGTGTGTGTGTTTGTATGTGGCGTCGTCAGGCAGCTGGTGAATGGTTACCGGCTCTGAGTCTGCTGGGTCCTGTTCTTGGCCATGTGCAGCCGTCATTAAAGTACTCACTGTGCTGTGTCCTTTTTCGAACTGAAAAATTTACACACCGTCACCTTGCTTTGGATCAAGTCAACCCTCCTTTCCCTCTCACCTCTCCGCCTCGCCACACAGAGTTGCCAGCAGTGCAGTGGCCTCAGCTGCCTTGTTTTGACATGATCTGCCGTTGCCGGACATGTCTGTCCGCCAAAACTGGGATGAGGCTGGCCGTGAATGGGCTGCGGCGCATCTGCAGAGCCGACAGGCTTTTCGCCCCTTGCAAAGGTTGGGCTGACCTACAGGGCTTGAGAGTTCCAAAGTGCTTCAAGTCAGCTTCTTCGTCGCTTGAGCTGTTGCAGTGCTTCGGACAGGTGATCCAGATCTCGGACGAACAAGACGAGCAAGATGAAGTGATTCTGTTGCAGCTTGGAGCACCTGTGTTCCGACGGACCAGCAACTCTTCGACAGAGCCTCTTGGCGACGCAAGCGACAGCCTAGCCAGCTGCCACGACAAAGCTTGCTTTCGACAAATGTTGTGTTACATTGGGTCAACACCTTAACCATGCGGCAGGTTTCCTGCACATTGCCGCACGTTTGGACCTGACGATGGATCTCCTATTGCCAGCTTTCCGTCTGGGAGACATCAGCTGAAGGAGCTTTCGGTTGTGACGTCGTCATGCACTCCTGATCAGACAGTTTGATTTGTCTGATTTGGCTTTCTGAAAGGACCTCATGCTTTGTCCAGAAGTGAAGCTGATTCCTCCTCACGTATCTCTACAGGCAGATGCTTGCCTCTATTCGGGGTGTTTTACCTGTTTGCTGGATGTCTCGGCCCCGGAACCTTCATCTCTGCCACCCGAAAGCACACTCTCAAGATCCCTTCGGCTTGCTTCGAGGTGGGTTAATGCACGTCGGGTTGAACTTCGGGTTGAAGGTACTGCATGGGTACATTGCACATGATTCCTGGTGCGGACAGACTGCGCAATGTCAAGTTAGTCAAGTTCAATTCTGCTCATGTTTCTCGTGGCTTGAGCGCTCAAAAGCACCCCTGCTGCCTGGGCTTCCGTCGCCCTCAAACTGCTTGGATGAGCTCAGTTTGCGTGCAGGAGACCATCCCAAGCTTTCAGTGCGCTTTGGATGCGGGGGGATTACGCACTGTCAACAGGGTGGAGTGTTTTTTCTTTTGATTTATTTTGTTGGGTCGAAGGCCTGCCGTTTTGGAAGCATCCTTCAATGTCCGTTGTGTGGATGGGGGGGCCGGTCGGACTCCTACTGACAGGTGTCGTTTGTCCAACCGAGGTAAAGGACGACAACAGTGACAGGGACGATTGCTTGGAGCCGGAATCCTCACTGTGCAAGGCGGCATAAAACTGGCGAAACTCACACGGATGGAAGTGCTTGGAGAGGCAATCCTGGTGACATTTTTGTTTTTGAAGCCAGATGTTGCAAAGATGCCTGCAAGTGGTACCAGTCAGCAAGCAGGCTGGGGCAGCTTGGAACCGCGATCCGCGAGACAGTTTCTACTTGTTGCCCCGGACCCCCTGGACGCCGCGGCGTTGGTCTTCAGGGTTTCAAGGGTTCAAGGTTTAACCATCCCAAAACAACACCGAAGCCTCCTCTACCCGTGAATGACTCCGGCATTTCCTGCAAAAAGGAAAAAGAAACGAAGAATCGCTCCTGCGATTCTGGCGCATCAACACACTGGAGCCCTGCAGACAAAGGGCTGGATGTACGCACCTGCGTACGAGCATGGCCTTGCCCCCCTCCCCAAAACGAAGGCAACAACAACAAGGTTTAAACACATACTCTTCCCTTTCAGAACTCAGGCTTGGCCTCAAGCGCGGCGAGCTTTCGAAGCATTTCTCTCACTGCGATTCAAGCACGTGTGGTTCGCGCGTGTCTGGGGAATTCGAGGTCTTACTGCTGTTAAGCTTAGTCCTCTTTGGTTTTCGACGCTTGAGGGATTTTAGGGTTTAAGGGTCTAAGGCTTTTCAGGCTTCAGGCATTTAGGGTCAACGATATCCGAAACAGTTTAAATTATGGTTTGGGTGATCAGTGTGCGTAGGGTTTAGAGTTTGTAGGGTGTGCAGCTTGAAAGTCCAGTCTGCAAGGTTTCGTGCGCGTGAACCTGGCGCGTGCTTGCGCGAAACCCGGGTGCAGGAGAATCGCGGCCTGCGGCACACGAATCTGTCGGTACACGCATGCACCATACCCGTGTTCTGAGTGCTCAATTCGGGTTGTCTAAGCTTTGTCGTGATTCTAGTTCGCAAATAGGTTGTTCAAAATTCTAAAGCATATGCAGGGGTTGCTACTGGGTGCGCTGCAAATGCCGTGGTGCCAGTGCCGCTGTTGTGCGCTGTGCTGTCATTGGACTGTTGTAGCCGAGCAGACATGTGTTCTGAACTGTTCCGAGGAATGGGTGTCTGCCAAGCCTCAGGGATTGCTGTGGCTCCCGGATTCGTTCAATGGCGTCGTGCCAGTTGCTGCGTCCTCAGCTGAAGCATGATCAGGCTCATCTGGCACAGGCTGTGTGTGGATGTTGCTTACATCTCGAGGCCCAGGCGACACCTGACTTTTTGGCATATTACGGGGCTGCTATGGCTTCTTCCTGCAACATATCAGCTGTTGATGTCAAGGCAAGGTCGTTGCAGTTCGTTGCAGGACAGCTTGGTTCTTCTGTTGATTCTTATTCTGATTGCAGCAGAAGTTTCGGTTGCACGCCCGCCTTGGTAGCCACCTGCGCAGGCAGAGCAACAGATCGTTGATTTTGAGTACTCCTACACATACAAGGCACCACGGTTTGTGCTGACTGACTAGCAAGGGGGCGCTGGCTTCGTTTTCTGTTTTCAGCGCCCTTTTCAGGAGCGCTGGGTACTGAACCCTGACTTGGGTCCCGGCAGCCTGGGCCTGCAAAGGCACAATTTTGCACATTTGGAGACCCTTGGAAAGCAACAGAAAGGGTTTAGGGCATCAAGGCAGGGGGGTCCCAGACTTATGTGGCCGAGGTGCCCTTTGGACGATGACAACGGCATTCTGCTCCTAGGAAGACTCGTGGGCAAGGACGCGAGATGGTGTACCTGTCTCCTTAGCATGAGCGTGGGCTTTTTTTATAGAAGAGGATCTACAGCTCACTGGATTCAGATGCCCGTGCTTCCACACCATTTATCTCGAACTTCGGCAGCACGCCATTTGAGATCTGAGTCGTTGTCTTTCCTTTCACCTGTTTAGACTCAGGCGCCAAGGGTCATTCACTCCAAAGATCATTTGTTGAGACGGTGGCGTACTTCGATGACCATCGCGTCAGCGGATGCCCTGTTTGGGCCACAGTCTTCGATGTACGTCTTCCAGTTCCTGCAGACCGAACCGTCTTCTCAGCAGCCTGCATTGCCAGGTCGAGTGAAGTGGACCATGTTCTGCTGCAGCAGATGGCTGAGTCTGGCGGAACTGTCCATGATGTGGACCCCCGACTTGCAGGGTCTGACTTTGCAAGACCTATGGGTAGATAACAGCAAGCAATGGGAACTTGCAGACTGTATGCCCTGCAATGGAGCTGGTGTTTGCACAGACGTGGGCTGATCCATGAAGCCAGAACCAGAAAGCTAGATGGACAATTACATCCCGATGCTTTGGCTAGTGCTGGAAGGCTGAAGGCACAACAAGCTGATAGTGGAAATGGCTAGGTAGGAATGTTGGCTGCCGCTGCCTGTTATGCAGTGCTGCAGAGGGTTTGAGCGAGTTTTCTCCTCTCGTTTTGCCACTTAGCTTCGTGTTCTCTGAAATGGCGAGGTCGTGCTTCATTCTCGGGTGACTTGCATCCGTCCCATGCGAGGATCTGAGGTTCGAGGAAGCCTTCAACCTCGTGCAGCAAGGTCCTCGGGCTTGCCTGAAGACGACAGCCAAGGACGAAGCTCATTGATCATGTATGTCACTGGGCACGTGCAGCACATGTGCGCAGCGACTTCAACCCTGCAGCGTTGTATCAGGACGGTCCGAGGCTTTCATCCTTAGAGGAGGAGTGCGAGGAATGCGAAGATGAGGCCGAAGAGGAGATCCAACGGTCAGTCTGGACATTCCCCGCTCGTGACCGAGTTCTCCTGCAGGACACTGTTCCCAGCCAGAAGCCTCGGCCATCAGTGGAATCCCTGTATACTCTGATGTCAAGCTCCACCGCCAGAGTGCGGGTTAGTGCCTTCAGCCGCAACGGGGGTCCGTGCACTCCATGCAATATTCCATGCATCAATGCCACTTGAAGCCTTGTTGTGCTGACGCTCCAGGCGTGGACAGTTCAGCCTCTGGAGTATCTGCAATTTTCCCCGGGATCCTGCCCAGTCTACCCTTGATGTCCGTCACCTACTCTCTTGTGCTGTCAAGGATTGCGTTTGGGGTCTCCTCAACCTGCCGCCTTAGGCCCGAGGCTCCCAGCTCACGCATGGAGCCTCCGCAGCTCTTGGTGCGGCATTCCGGTGGGACTATGGAAGACAGGTCCCGCATTGCAAGACTCACACTGCTGGCTTCGTCATCTCGTGGCATATCCTTTCCAGCAGGCTCGGCGATGCCGCCTACGGCAAGCTGTTGGCACGAATGGGACACCGCGTTAGCTTGTCCTAGCCCGACACCCAGGCGCCCGGACAGGGACAAGCAAAATGACTCGGCATGATGGCAGTGTGTATGCATGAAGCTCTGTAGTAGTCAGCGCTTGGCCTCATCTTGAGGCATCTCGATCGGAGATGATGTGGCATTGACCAGCTGTAGCGTTGAAGGCGCGATGCTTCAGCCGTGTACGTGCTACTGGTATCTGCAGGTTTGCAGCAAGCGGTCTCCAGGTGCTTGAAGGCACAGGCGAACTCCAAAGGGTGTCCTTCGTGTTCAGGCAGCGCTTGTGGGTGTCCATCTGGAGTACATCCCATGACCGTTGCAGACCCGCTGATGTTTGTTTGCGAGGAGGCGTGCGCCTCACGGTCGCCAGTCGATCGAGTTTTTAATTGCTCGCTGCGGATGCAGAAGTCCTCGGAATTTGATGCATCGAAGCGGGAAGCCCTGAACCCAAACCCTGAAGATAAGGGGCTTCGAAGGGGCTTCCTGCGCCATGAGGCCACGTGCATCCGGTTTTGGCCTCATGTGCAGGACATCATCCGCGAGATGTCGCAGATGTTTCAAGATGCAGTCTGAAACACAGGAGGTAAGACCTGGCAACAACAGCAAAAGACCCGGAAGTCTCGAAGATGTGGACTCAGACCTGCCATCTTTGCACTTTCTCTCGCTTTCGTACTGCACTGTACTGGGAAAGCGGCATTTCCTGAGCGTTTCCGTGGAAATCCCTCGAACCGCTGCCCATTGCTGTTGTTCAGAACATGCAGTATTAGTGATCTTGCCGAAGGCAGGCAACCTTAAAGACTTTTTTGGCGTGATTCCGCCAGACGTTGAAGCATCGCATCGCACACCTGGCCATGTCGCAGCATGAGACGGGTTGATTGCTTCAGATCCTTCAGGCGCAGCTGTGCCAACTTGTTTTTTCGCTGGATTCCAAGGTCAGCTGCGGAGCAGCGAGGCAATGGATCAGGGCTAATTATCTCTCGTGAAGCTAGCTTTGGAAGTCAAGGGTTGCAACAGGAAATAGGCGAAAGGTCAAAACTGTGAAGATGAATAAAGCATGCAATTCTGCAAACGAGCTGTCGGAATCAAGCTAGATTTTGCAAGGAGCACGTAGACTTGAGAACCGCGGACCGGTCGGTTAGTCCGCTCAACTCATCACTTCAGTGTAGGGCGGGGTGCGTGTGTACGGTTCGAGGTGGTCGCCCGCGAGTTGGAAGTCACCGGAGATTATCACACCTTTACGTTTGTAATGTCGGTTGGCAAGTTGCGGGACTTGGTGGCAAGTAGTGAGTGGACAAGTGCACATGACAGGCCCTCAGTGTGGACAACATCTCCTTTGCATCTGCAATCTCCGCATGCCAGAAAGCTTCGCGCTGGGTGCCTTGGCGAAGACGAGTACTAGTCGGACAAGCCTCAAGCTATCGTGGCATTGGCCAACTCGACGCATCAGACCCGCTTTTTAGGGGTGCAAAGGCCGAACGCTTGTCGACCAGGAGAGATCCCTCCAACTACTCTGGCAAACGGAGGCCGTTTGTGTACACATATCAGACATTTCATATGTCATCGGGACAATCGTGATGCTGTAGTCATTGTTTGACTGCACAGGCTAGCGGACTCAGCCCAGACATCGTGTGTTTTAACGCTGCCATCAGCGCCTGCGCCGGCAGCTGAGCTCCGGAAGCAGTCTTGGCAAAGCCTTCGAGAGTCTGTTGCCAGCAGCCGTGCATGTGGTGTCTGCGATGTTTGTACGGGTCTGGGGCCCCGCCCCGCACTTTGTACTTTGAGGACCGCTGCTTCGAATGGCAGCGAAGCCTCTGGCTCCTCCGTGAGCTCTGTCGGCGCCGGCTTCGCCCGGACGCCGTCACATTCGCTTGTGTGGTCTCTGCTTGTGTCGCTCGATCGTTGGTCAGATGGGTTCCTGAGGTCCTCGTTGAGTCAGCAAACCAGGGAGGTTGTGACAGACTGTGAAATGAGGCAAAGACTGGGCGCTGGAGTCAGGCCCTCTCCTTGCTGAGAGTTGCCAGGACTGCTTGTTGTGATCGGAAAGGCTGTTTTGTTCAGGGTTGTCGGAATCAAGTTTTTAGCTGTTTTAGGATAAGGATTTGCTACCCATCATGGCCTTTGTCGGGTTTCAGTCTCAGCCTGCCTCCTGCAGGAATTTAGGCCCTAGGGTTGCAATCCCTTTTTGGTTCACGCTGTGCCATCAAGTTAGGGCTGAGGGTTGCAATCTGCCATGTCGTTTTGCGGTCCACGCTTTGCTATTAATGTCGGGCTTAGGGTTGCAATCCACTCGGCCCTCGATTTAAGGCTTAGGGTTGCAATCTGGCATCTC